TCTTTCTTTCTTTCTTTCTTTCTTTCTTTCTTTCTTTCTTTCTTTCTTTCTTTCTTTCTTTCTTTCTTTCTCTCCAATTTGTACTTCATTTATTGCTTTAATTACTGTGTTTTTTATTTTTGTCTTGGCAATTTCTTGCAATAAAAAAGCAATGAAAAAAAACATTATAAAAATCTCTACCAGAAGCTGAGCCTAGGAAACCTGCACCCTCTGAAAATTAGTCCCAAATATATACAGCTGAGGTTTGGAAGCAGATCACCCACTTTCAGTGGCATTATTATATATTTTTTAAAACCTATATTGATGTCTCAGATTGGCATAACATGACTAATTTAAGTTTTTAGGGATGAAGTAAAAAAAGGGTGATGGGGCTAAAATTCTGACCTCAACTCTCTGGGGCCATCACAACATACTCCTGTGGTACCTACAGACCTTTCCCCAAATATAAGTCTATAAAGTCTCTGAGTAGCAACAATCAGCCAGCCTTGATAGAGCTTGGAAGATAAGTAGGATCAGACTTGGTATTTACATGCACTGGGAACCACCTGGGAATACCAGGGCCGTTGGCTTGATTGGGCAGTTCATAGAACAGGGCAAAGGCAAACTACTTCCATACTACTGTCAAGAAAAGAATATGGACATATCCATAAAGTCATCACAAGCAGAACTCAAAATCAAGAGAGGCTTTCTCTTTACAAAGAAAAGAAACCCACTTGTCAGTTCTGACTGCAGAATGGTTGCCCGTTCGTGACTTACAAAAAGGGTTGAGGAAACCTGTAGACGATAGGTCTACAAGACAGATTTTGCCATACTCATCAAAGCTTCATATTCTTAAGGGAATTATTTTAGTAAAGGAGCTGGTTTGGTGTAGTGGTTAAGGCACCAGGCTAGAAATTGGGAGATTGTGAGTTCTGGTCTTGCCTTACACATGATGCCAGTTGGGTGACCTTGGGCCAGTCCCTCTCTCTCAGCCCTAGGAAGACAGCAATGGCAAGGCACTTCTGAAATCTTGCCAAGAAAACTGCAGTCATCAGGAGTCAACACTGACTTGAAGGCACCCCCCAAAAAAGAAAGAAATCAGGACTCTTTGTCTCAATTCCATTTTAGTGGAGGAAGTTCCCACAATAGTATTAGATGACCAGACATTTTTCTAGCCACAGTTCCATTATCCTCCTGACAAATGCCATATTGGAATCATTTACTTCTTCTCTAACCTAATAGAGATCTCCTAGTCCAATAGCCTTCTTCTTGGCTGCTTATCTTCCCAGCCGCTCCTGAGTTGTTACTGATAAGGCTGGCATTTGATGACTCTTTTGAATCTTGTCATTGCCATAATTTTGCCCTCTCAGAGTGCTTTGATGAATCCTGAGAAATTGATTGGTATCTGGTTTTCTCCAAAGTTAATCCATTTTATCGTTTGCCAAACATTAAGCTACCTGAAGAAGTCTTAGGCCCTCACATTCATTTCATTGTATTTTCCTTTGTAATTTATAATGATAGGTCAGCCATCCTTCCTTTTAGTTATAGCCGACACATACTTTGCTAATTAACCTTGTCATAATTACCATATTCCACATTAATATTTAGCTTCCACCCTCTCCTCCTTTGTAGACTTATGGAAAGGATAATCCCTTTAGCTTTCCAGCTGATTAATCAAGCAACTACAGTAATAATATATTTAAATTTTAAAGTCTTCACATATGGCACCAGATGATTTGTTTCTTTCTTCCTAGAATAAACTGTTGACATTTATGCTGTCCTTAAATGTGCCTTGCAATGCAATTTCTCAGATGTTTTCTTTCTTTCAAAGCTTTTGAAAAAGGCTTTGGTTTTTCTACATTATTCTCAGGGCACTTGATAGATGCTTTTGAATTTCCCTTGGTGACGTTTTGGAGTGAACCTGATTGTTGGAAAAGGCAAAGACAGTTAATGCCAACATTGTTTTCTGTTATGTACTACTCTGAAGCTGCTGTAGTTATTCACTTTTCTTAATGTGGAAAACCCCAGTGGCTAGAGGTTCCTCATTATTACTTTCTTTGAGTGTTAATAGGAATATGGGAAGACAGGGAAGATGCAGATGACTGAACAGATGATTGTACAATGAAAGGTAGGGTTCCTATAGACATCTCTTGGCCCCCTTCTATGAGAGCTTGGCAAAGTCAGAAGCAATCAGACAAGCTTATTATGATAAAAAGGGACAGATGGCAATTCCTTTCAAACTGAAAGGTCTTGAGTCATTGCACCATGCAGGTAGGAGAAAGAGGTGTAATAAGTAAACCATAAATTCTGTATCAATAGGGCTTGCATTTAATATCTGGCAGTTGCTGGAATCCTTTCTTTATGGCTTCCTTAGTTGTGATAAAGTTACTTACTTGTCAGAGACCTGCATCCTGGCATCACTGCCTATCAGCCACTAAAAGCATGATATCTTGCAATTAAATGTGCAAGAATTCTACGCTCCACCTTTGAAAACTTCACTGAAATTCTCTTCTGTTTTGAAATACATTTTGAAAGCAAATTCCCTTTCATCAGAATGAGTAAGAAGTGGTAAAGAAATTTATAATAGCTATAAGTTTATAGAAAAGTACAGAACTTTGTAATCCTGCCCCTTCCCCAATGTTTATGGAGACATTTTGGCAACTGTTTTAGGAATAGTTGACCATAAAGCCCACTTCTATCTCTAGGGAAACCCTCTCTAAAATGTATTTATTTATGTAAATGTTGCTACATTTTTAGTCTTTATTCAGAAGGTCTTTAGAAAGCCTTTGGTCTTTCTTTACTTAGAAAATTCTTCTTTAGTCTTTCTGCATACTCCAAAACATTTTGGAAACAAGATCTTCCAAAAGAAATGCAGTAATAATGACTTGACTATGAAGAACAAATAAAACACATTCCAAACTCACAAAACCCCCTGGTAATTCCTTTAGGCCAATGGAAGTTGTATAATTATCACAAATTCTTGAGTTCTCCAGAATTCTTCCTTAGGTTAATTGTTTTGGAGATCTTCCACATTCACCTTTAATTTGACTGGAGGTGAAATCCAGTGGCAAGGCAATAAAAACCGAGTTGGCAACTGAACTCACTCACTAGCCTTGGACAAGTCAGCCAAGATAAAAGTTTATTAGTATGCTAAAGGTAGGACTTTGCTGGCTTCCTTTTAGGGAACTTCTTGCTAGCTTTACAGTACTCAAGAGTTGAACTATGTTCCAAGAGAAGGAGGAGAAAAGAAACAGGTGGTGTCCTTATTTCACTCTGTCCAACCAGTTAGGGATTTTCTTTATGGTTATAATAACAAAATAGAGTATACAGTATGTAATCTGGAGGTCCTCCTAGACTCAC